ACAGTCACCCAAAACACAAGGTCCTGTGGAGTGTGTTAACATAGCACTTTTATAGTTGTCTGGGTTCAATATTTTAATTTTTAGCTTCGTACAGTTGGCCACCTCCACCATTTGGCCACCTCCACCATTTGGCCACCCCATACATCTGGCCACAAATCCCACCTCCACCATTTGGCTACCTAATACAGCTGGCCACCTCTACCATCTGGCCACCTCTACCATTTGGCCACCCCATACATCTGGCCACCTCCACCATTTGGCCACCCCATACATCTGGCCACCTCATACATTTGGCCACAAATCCCACCTCCACCATTTGGCTACCTAATATAGCTGGCCACCTCATACATTTGGCCACCTCATACATCTGGCCACCTCATACATCTGGCCACCTCATACATCTGGCCACCTCCACCATCTGGCCACCTCATACATCTGGCCACCTCATACATCTGGCCATCTCATACACCTGGCCACCTCATACATCTGGCCATCTCATACATCTGGCCACCTCATACACCTGGCCACCTCATACAGCTGGCCACCTCCACCATTGGGCCACCCCATACACCTGGCCACCTCATACAGCTGGCCATCTCATACACCTGGCCACCTCATACATCTGGCCACCTCATACACCTGGCCACCTCATACATTTGGCCACCTCATACATCTGGCCACCTCCACCATCTGGCCACCTCATACACCTGGCCACTTCATACACCTGGCCACCTCATACATCTGGCCACCTCATACATCTGGCCACCTCATACATCTGGCCACCTCATACATCTGGCCACCTCCACCATATGGCCACCTCATACATCTGGCCACCTCATACATCTGGCCATCTCATACACCTGGCCACCTCATACATCTGGCCACCTCATACATCTGGCCACCTCATACATCTGGCCACCTCATACATCTGGCCACCCCATACATCTGGCCACCTCATACATCTGGCCACCTCATACAGTTGGCCACCTCATACATCTGGCCACCTCATACATCTGGCCACCTCATACATCTGGCCACCCCATACATCTGGCTACCTCATACATCTGGCCACCTCATAAATTTGGCCACCTCATACATCTGGCCACCCCATACATCTGGCCACCTCATACATCTGGCCACCTCATACAGTTGGCCACCTCATACATCTGGCCACCCCATACATCTGGCCACCTCTTACATCTGGCCACCCCATACATCTGGCCACCTCATACATCTGGCCACCTCATACAGCTGGCCACCGCATACAGCTGGCCACCTCATACACCTGGCCACCTCATACATTTGGCCACCTCATACATCTGGCCACCTCCACCATCTGGCCACCTCATACACCTGGCCACTTCATACACCTGGCCACCTCATACATCTGGCCACCTCATACATCTGGCCACCTCATACATCTGGCCACCTCATACATCTGGCCACCTCATACATCTGGCCACCTCCACCATATGGCCACCTCATACATCTGGCCACCTCATACATCTGGCCATCTCATACACCTGGCCACCTCATACATCTGGCCACCTCATACATCTGGCCACCTCATACATCTGGCCACCTCATACATCTGGCCACCTCATACATCTGGCCACCCCATACATCTGGCCACCTCATACATCTGGCCACCTCATACAGTTGGCCACCTCATACATCTGGCCACCTCATACATCTGGCCACCTCATACATCTGGCCACCCCATACATCTGGCCACCTCATACATCTGGCCACCTCATAAATTTGGCCACCTCATACATCTGGCCACCCCATACATCTGGCCACCTCATACATCTGGCCACCTCATAAATTTGGCCACCTCATACATCTGGCCACCCCATACATCTGGCCACCTCATACATCTGGCCACCCCATACATCTGGCCACCTCATACATCTGGCCACCTCATACAGTTGGCCACCTCATACATCTGGCCACCTCATACATCTGGCCACCTCATACATCTGGCCACCCCATACATCTGGCCACCTCATACATCTGGCCACCTCATAAATTTGGCCACCTCATACATCTGGCCACCCCATACATCTGGCCACCTCATACATCTGGCCACCTCATACATCTGGCCACCCCATACATCTGGCCACCTCATACATCTGGCCACCTCATAAATTTGGCCACCTCATACATCTGGCCACCCCATACATCTGGCCACCTCATACATCTGGCCACCTCATACAGTTGGCCACCTCATACATCTGGCCACCCCATACATCTGGCCACCTCTTACATCTGGCCACCCCATACATCTGGCCACCTCATACATCTGGCCACCTCATACAGCTGGCCACCTCATACATCTGGCCACCTCCACCATCTGGCCACCTCATACACCTGGCCACTTCATACACCTGGCCACCTCATACATCTGGCCACCTCATACATCTGGCCACCTCATACATCTGGCCACCTCATACATCTGGCCACCTCATACATCTGGCCACCTCCACCATATGGCCACCTCATACATCTGGCCACCTCATACATCTGGCCATCTCATACACCTGGCCACCTCATACATCTGGCCACCTCATACATCTGGCCACCTCATACATCTGGCCACCTCATACATCTGGCCACCTCATACATCTGGCCACCCCATACATCTGGCCACCTCATACATCTGGCCACCTCATACAGTTGGCCACCTCATACATCTGGCCACCTCATACATCTGGCCACCTCATACATCTGGCCACCCCATACATCTGGCCACCTCATACATCTGGCCACCTCATAAATTTGGCCACCTCATACATCTGGCCACCCCATACATCTGGCCACCTCATACATCTGGCCACCTCATAAATTTGGCCACCTCATACATCTGGCCACCCCATACATCTGGCCACCTCATACATCTGGCCACCCCATACATCTGGCCACCTCATACATCTGGCCACCTCATACAGTTGGCCACCTCATACATCTGGCCACCTCATACATCTGGCCACCTCATACATCTGGCCACCCCATACATCTGGCCACCTCATACATCTGGCCACCTCATAAATTTGGCCACCTCATACATCTGGCCACCCCATACATCTGGCCACCTCATACATCTGGCCACCTCATAAATTTGGCCACCTCATACATCTGGCCACCCCATACATCTGGCCACCTCATACATCTGGCCATCTCATACACCTGGCCACCTCATACATCTGGCCACCTCATACATCTGGCCACCTCATACATCTGGCCACCTCATACATCTGGCCACCTCATACATCTGGCCACCCCATACATCTGGCCACCTCATACATCTGGCCACCTCATACAGTTGGCCACCTCATACATCTGGCCACCTCATACATCTGGCCACCTCATACATCTGGCCACCCCATACATCTGGCCACCTCATACATCTGGCCACCTCATAAATTTGGCCACCTCATACATCTGGCCACCCCATACATCTGGCCACCTCATACATCTGGCCACCTCATACAGTTGGCCACCTCATACATCTGGCCACCCCATACATCTGGCCACCTCTTACATCTGGCCACCTCATACATCTGGCCACCTCATACATCTGGCCACCTCATACATCTGGCCACCCCATACATCTGGCCACCTCATACATCTGGCCACCTCATAAATTTGGCCACCTCATACATCTGGCCACCCCATACATCTGGCCACCTCATACATCTGGCCACCTCATACAGTTGGCCACCTCATACATCTGGCCACCCCATACATCTGGCCACCTCTTACATCTGGCCACCCCATACATCTGGCCACCTCATACATCTGGCCACCTCATACAGCTGGCCACCTCATACATCTGGCCACCTCCACCATATGGCCACCTCATACATCTGGCCACCTCATACATCTGGCCATCTCATACACCTGGCTACCTCATACATCTGGCCACCTCATACATCTGGCCACCTCATACATCTGGCCACCTCATACATCTGGCCACCTCATACATCTGGCCACCCCATACATCTGGCCACCTCATACATCTGGCCACCTCATACAGTTGGCCACCTCATACATCTGGCCACCTCATACATCTGGCCACCTCATACATCTGGCCACCCCATACATCTGGCCACCTCATACATCTGGCCACCTCATAAATTTGGCCACCTCATACATCTGGCCACCCCATACATCTGGCCACCTCATACATCTGGCCACCTCATACAGTTGGCCACCTCATACATCTGGCCACCCCATACATCTGGCCACCTCCACCATCTGGCCACCCCATACATCTGGCCACCCCATACATCTGGCCACCTCATAACTCTGGCCACCTCATACAGCTGGCCACCGCATACAGCTGGCCACCTCCACCATTTGGCCACATCCACCATCTGGCCACCCCACACATCTGGCCACCTCCACCATCTGGCCACCCCATACAGCTGGCCACCCCATACATCTGGCCACCCCATACAGCTGGCCACCGCATACAGCTGGCCACCCCACACATCTGGCCACCTCCACCATCTGGCCACCCCATACCTCTGGCCACAAGTGAGGCCTCACCTGGTCCACGATGCTCTCGTCGTCCCTGAGGTAATGGTCCAGGTCGACCTGTGGCCCGGCCCCGTCAAACATGGAGAAGATGGAGCTGCTCGACTCCTCTTCTTCCTTCCTTCTCGTCACCGCCATCTGGTACTTGCTCCACTGCCGGCTCTTTAGAACCGGCGACTCGTCCGGCAAAAGCTGTTTGGTGAAGCCTTGCACGGCTAACCTGTTATGGGAGAAAGGTGGATGTGTTAGCCTTCTTAGCTAGATCGGATTAATCAAATGTTTTTTCCTTTGTTGGGCAAACCTTCTCATTACACCTGACACAAAACTTGTGGCCATGTTAGGTATTTTAGACCACTCAGGCTTTATACAATATGCATAATCCTTCCTATTCCGCCACAAATCACAGACCTTTGATATCAATGTGTTAGTTACTATGGAAACCAAAGAAATACTCCTACCTGTAAGCCTTGTGGTTTCCATAGGAATTTTTCTCCCTATCGTTGTAGACGATGTGGTACTTGGGCTCTGAGAAATTGTAGTGTAGCACAGCGTCCTGCTCCGTCTGCCTGAGGTTGTGCTTGAAGGAGATCTGGTGGAACTCTTCGCTGCCAGACTTGTACCAGGGCCAGGGCCGCTTGTCTAGGGCCAGGTCCAGGCTCTCGTAACGGTTAGATTGACCTTGAATGTCAAGGTCAACTTTAAAGTTCATCAAGTGGTGGTGGATGAAGCCCACAGAGTCGCCGTGGATTCTGTGGAACGATTAAAAAAAACGCTCATGTGACAATTACAGTAGCGAAGTGCTTATTGTGGCCAACGATAGAGGATACAGGCAAGTCTCTTATAATCCCACATCCTGTCGACGAAATAAACACTCTGCTTATTAATTCTCAACCTTGAGAGGATAAAGGCACAGTGCTTATTTCTACGATAGGATGTGAGGTAATACTGAGCCACATTAAACACAAAAATTTCAAATTTACATTAAAAAAACACCATTGGAAATAGAAAAAAACATCTTTAGAGAACTAATTACCTAAATCCAAACGGCTCTTCCTCTTTGTGAAATATCTGTGACATGATGTACCCAGTGGCGTAAACTTTGACCTCCACGGCGCCATTTTGGTGAAACACCCAATCAAAGATGTAGTCGTAGTTGTACTCAACAATGATGGTGCGCAGGATGAGAACACGGTCCGCTAGACCACCGTAGTTGCTGGTAGATACAGGAGGAGAGGGGGGGGGGTCAAAGGTGAACAAATTGACTAGCTGGTAGCATAGTTGTGGCCTTGCTGTGTATTTGGTGGAGTATAGACATTTTTGGTGGAGCTTGGACAAGTTGATGGAGTATGGTCGTGTTGGTGGAGTATGAACAGGGTCGTGGAAAATACAATGCGATAAGTATTATTGAAATAAATTGATGAAAGCAATGAATAGTATCGCCATTGATGTGGAGTAGTAGCTAGTAGGTGGAGTATAGACATATAGGAGGTATAATGACATTAATGAGGAGCATACCATGTTGGTGGAGCATACGTTATTATGGCGCATAATTTAGAACAATGGTGGAGTAGAGCATAGCATGACTAAAGCCTTGAAGACCCACCTGCCAATAGATGGGTCATTCGTGTAGTGACGTCGTAGGGGAATCCCCGTGTTGTGTTCAAACAGACAAAAACAGTTGTTCAGTGTTCTGGTTACGTGTTGCTCATTGTCATAAATTGCCTGAGGTAAAAATGTGGCGTAGTCCGGACAGTCCACTCCAGGCACGAGACCAAAGGCCTGGAACAAAACTCACAGTACGTCAGCTGTCAAGTCATTTCACTCAAAACTTAGGCTGAGGGTCTCTGGTTAGCTAATTTTGTTGCTAATTAACCATCTAAAGTAATTACCTGAACCATCTTACCTGGTTACCTAGACCCTCAGAACTGTCAGACAGGTGAGTGTAAAAGGCGTTAGGATTAGCCCCAAAGTAGATAACGGCGACCTCCTGTAGGCTAATCTCAAACGCGATTCTCTCCCCTGCCCAGCGGACATCCCACACCTGGGGGCCAGCAACTGCGGACATTCGGACATTGAAGCTCCACTCCAGGTACTCAACATGTCCGGCACTTACGCTGTATTGGGAAAAAAACAACTACCTTAATGTAGATTTCCATATAATAAATTAAAGTACGTATTCCCTCCAACACAATTAAGGGTAACGTATTAAAATGGTCATATGGTCTCATCGCTACGACTTCAGCCAGCTTTTCTTTCTACATTTACTTCGACAGTCTTTTGACCATCCTTACATTGCACCGGCCATATCACCTGTCATCTCACCTGTCATCTCACACGTCATCTAACTATTGCCTAACCTGTCACCTCAGATGTCAACTCGATAGTTCCCTCTGTCATCTCGACTGTCGTCTCACCTGTTACTTGTCACCTAACCTGTCATTTTAACCGTTAAATATCACCTGTCATCTCACCTGTCATTTCACCTGTCATCTCACCATTTATCTCACATTACATCCCACCTGTCGCTTGTCATCTCACCTGTCAATTCACATGTTAACTGTCACCTGTCATATCACCTGTCGCTTGTCATCTCACCTATCATCTCACCTGTAATCTCACCTGTCATCTCGACTGTCACCTAACTTGTCATTTCACCTGTTAACTGTCACCTGTCATCCCACCTGTCATCTCACCTGTCATCTCACCTGTAACGTTTACCTGAAGGCTGGTATTCCCTTGAGCCTGACAGACCTGCGGCAGGGAAGGTCCTGCCCCTCAAGTTGACCGTCCCTGGCACAGAAGTCTGCTGGGGCCTGGGGAACGTCTTGCGGACCTTGGTCATCCTGTCCCCCTCATAGGCTGCCACAAAGTCTCGGACTGACGTGAAGTAGTAGCCGCCATAGAACACAGAGTCCACCTTAAACTCCAGGCTGTCTGAAACGTCACGTCACGGTTACCATTTAGTTGCGACTAATATTTCAAATGTTTTAATAACAACACGAATTTTCCACTTCGAATCAGAAATAATTGAGCGAATTAGTTTTTGGAATTTTGGATAAATAGAAATTAAATAAACCGGGAGTGATCTACCCTAAACTTTATCGAATATTCTTATATAACACTACGGGGGTTGCAACTCGTGATATAAACATGATTTTTTATAATCCATTTTTAATTACTTAAACTTTTTAAAATAGAATCTCGTAGAAAAAAGTATTGCGCACCAAGTGAACGCCAAACAATATGTGTATAATAGTGTGGAATAGTATTAGTACTTTATAAATTTACATGCGTTGTTGTTTTTTTTTGGGGGGGGGGGGTGAGAAATCGGAAATAAAGTAAATTACTACTTCCGATCAATGGAAATCACGTAAAACTTAACAGAAGGCAGAAAATTAGATCTTTTACTTACATGTGAAATTTCATTTATCTATCTAAAACAGTTCTCAAGTTATAGAATTTTGAAAAATTGAAAGTAGAATAAGTTCCACTTTCGGTTACCGGAAACTGCTGAAATGCTGAAACAGACCTACAAATTTGATATAATACTTAGGCCTATATGTGAAATTTCATCAACCTAGTTGTAACGGTAGGCCTACTCAAGATATTGTCTTCACAGACACACACACACAGAGAGAGAGAGAGAGAGAGAGAGAGAGAGACATATGGACAAAATTCCAAAACTATCTTTTTTTCCAACTCAGGTGTAAAACGTCAAGATTTGTAAAAATCTCGATTTTTTAAAATATTTTTTTTTACACGATACAATACTTCCTCTATACTTTGTACACGAGAAAGTAAAAATATATCAAAGATCAAGAATTTTTAGCGTCGGAGCATATTGTTCTGTGCTGTGGAGGTAGTGTTTCACTCCATGATCACCAGGATACACCACTTGTGTATTAGAAGAAAATAGCCATCTCAGGGAGTTAACTCAAATAAAGAACTTAAAATTACATGTGTTCTCTCACTTGTGCTGAGTCTGTCTATCACACACCAATAGCTGAACTACATTTACCTAGTGCTGTTTCTTTCATCGTGATCATCAAATCTCCAGGATTAATAGTGGGGAAGTCTGTTTGGTAATAGACCCCCATGACGATGAGGGTCGTGTCGGTGTAGGCGGAGCTTGTCTTCTGGGGGATGATCATCAGACACTCACCCCCACACTCGGTGAAGAAAGTCCCGTAACTCTCGAGTATGATTTGTTTTACCCTTGGGCTCAAGAGGACCTTCATAACTGCCGCTGTGGCCTGATCGACGCCGTAAGTTGGGTGGTATCTGATGGTGGTCACAGGGAGATAACAAATGTCAGATTTCTTTTTAAAATGAGATCAACCAAATGAAACCAAATTAATAATTCCTTATGTTTGTTATATGTTTTGCCAAAAATTGCAGAGGTTTTAAATCTTAAAAAGAAAATAAAAACTTCCAGGGTTCATTTAGTTAAAAACCTCATGTAACAAGGATCTACCCGTAAAACTAATGTAACAAAGATCCAAATAACAAATATCTACCTGTATGGAACTGTTTTTATTTCACGTCTTGGGTTCGGATCCATGCGAGTCGGGGACGGTAGAGGACCGACAACATACTCCTCCACCCTGGCCACGTCTGGCCGCACGATGACCACCCTCGCCTCCCGAACTGGTTTCGAACCCTGTCTGTCCAAGAAGTTGATGACGTCGGTTTTGTTGGGCACATGAAGCTCAATGCCGTACACACTGCTGTTCTTCCAGTTGACCAGGACGGTGTCTGATGGGATGGTCAGGTCATTAGACAAGGGAAGGGATATTTGGATGGTCAGTTCATTAGACAAGAGAATGGATATTTGGATGGTCAGCTCATTAGACAAGTGAAGGGATATTTGGATGGTCAGGTCATTAGACAAGGGAAGGGATATTTGGATGGTCAGTTTATTAGACAAAAGAAAGGATATTTGGATGGTCAGGTCGTTAGACAAGATTGGCAAGAAAAAGACATATGGATGGTCAGGTCATTAGACAAGAGAAGGGGTATTTTGATGGTCAGTTCATTAGACAAGGGAAGGGGTATTTGGATGGTCAGTTCATTAGACAAGAGAAGGGGTATTTGGATGGTCAGTTCATTAGACAAGGGAAGGGATATTTGGATGGTCAGTTTATTAGACAAAAGAAAGGATATTTGGATGGTCAGTTCATTAGACAAGGGAAGGGATATTTGGATGGTCAGTTTATTAGACAAAAGAAAGGATATTTGGATGGTCAGGTCGTTAGACAAGATTGGCAAGAAAAGGGACATATGGATGGTCAGGTCATTAGACAAGAGAAGGGGTATTTTGATGGTCAGTTCATTAGACAAGGGAAGGGGTATTTGGATGGTCAGTTCATTAGACAAGAGAAGGGGTATTTGGATGGTCAGTTCATTAGACAAGGGAAGGGGTATTTGGATGGTCAGTTCATTAGACAAGAGATATTTGGATGGTCAATTCATTAGACAAGAGAAGGGGTATTTGGATGGTCAGTTCATTAGACAAGGGAAGGGGTATTTGGATGGTCAGTTCATTAGACAAGAGATATTTGGATGGTCAGTTCATTAGACAAGAGAAGGGGTATTTGGATGGTCAGTTCATTAGACAAGGGAAGGGGTATTTGGATGGTCAGTTCATTAGACAAGAGATATTTGGATGGTCAGTTCATTAGACAAGGAAGGGATATTTGGATGGTCAGTTCATTAGACAAGGGAAGGGATATTTGGATGGTCAGGTCATTAGACAAGAGAAGGGATATATGGATGGTCAGTTCATTAGACAGGAGATATTTTGATGGTCTGTTCATGAGAAAAGAGAAGGGATATTTGGATGGTCAGTTCATTAGACAAGGGAATGGGTATTTGGATGGTCAGGTCGTTAGACAAGATTGGCAAGAGAAGGGACATATGGATGGTCAGGTCATTAGACAAGAGAAGGGGTATTTTGATGGTCAGGTCATTAGACAAGAGAAGAAGTATTTTGATGGTCAGTTCATTAGACAAGTGAAGGGGTATTTTGATGGTCAGGTCATTAGACAAGAGAAGGGGTATTTGGATGGTCAGGTCATTAGACAAGAGAAGGGGTATTTGGATGGTCAGGTCATTAGACAAGAGAAGGGATATTTGGATGGTCAGTTCATTAGACAAGAGAAGGGGTATTTGGATGGTCAGGTCATTAGACAAGGGAAGATATTTGGATGGTCAGTTCATTAGACAGGAGGAGATATTTGGATGGTCAGTTAATTAGACAAGGGAAGGGATATTTGGATGGTCAGTTCATTAGACAAGAGAAGGGGTGTTTGGATGGTCAGTTCATTAGACAAGGGAGGGATATTTGGATGGTCAGTTCATTAGACAAGAGAAGGGGTATTTGGATGGTCAGGTCATTAGACAAGAGAATGGATATTTGGATGGTCAGGTCATTAGACAAGAGAAGGGGTATTTGGATGGTCAGGTCATTAGACAGGAGATATTTTGATGGTCAGCTCATTAGACAGGAGATATTTTGATGGTCAGTTCATTAGACAAGAGAATGGATATATGGATGGTCAGTTCATTAGACAAGGGAGGGATATTTGGATGGTCAGTTCATTAGACAAGGGAAGGGATATTTGGATGGTCAATTTATTACATAAGAGAATGGATATTTGGATGGTCAATTTATTAGACAAGAGAATGGATATTTGGATGGTCACTTCATTAGACACGAGAGATAGGATATTTGGATGGTCAGTTCATTAGACAAGAGAATGGATATATGGATGGTCAGGTCATTAGACAAGAGAATGGATATTTGGATGGTCAGGTCATTAGACAAGAGAAGGGGTATTTGGATGGTCAGGTCATTAGACAGGAGATATTTTGATGGTCAGCTCATTAGACAGGAGATATTTTGATGGTCAGTTCATTAGACAAGAGAATGGATATTTGGATGGTCAGTTCATTATACAAGGGAGGGATATTTGGATGGTCAGTTCATTAGACAAGGGAAGGGATATTTGGATGGTCAATTTATTACATAAGAGAATGGATATTTGGATGGTCAATTTATTAGACAAGAGAATGGATATTTGGATGGTCACTTCATTAGACAAGGGAAGGGATATTTGGATGGATAGTTAAAAGTAGTGTAGTGGCCGCTTAAGGTCTTTCTTGACCTCTCACTTCACAAGTACTTGTGACCCCTTTACCTCTAACCTTTAGTTACTTGTTGATCTTTCACCTTCCATATTCTTTTTAACCGGTTATTTTTTATGTACCTGTCAATCTCTCACGATACAGTTGATGATTGATCTCTGACCTTTCGTGTAATCTTTGACCTCTAACCTTTCAAGAACTTGTTGACAGCCTCGATCTCCTCAAAACTCAGATCCAGAAAAATGTTCTCATACGTCACGCCAGCACCGTCCAGCATCCCGGTCGGGCAGCGGGGCAGCACGGTGCCTCCACACTTCTCTCCCCTGGTCCCCCCACCCTGGGGCTGTGAGCTGTTGGGCTGGGACTCCTGCTGGCCACCTTTGTTTACGATAAGTATCCAGGTCAAGGTCACGTTGACAATCAGAGACAGGACGAAAAGTGCCAGGATCAGGTGGACGCGGCGGTTCTGAAACGGGTCAAATATTTTAAGAGGTTGGTCTTTTTCATTTGTATAGGGTAACTCACTGACCCATAGGGCAACTCGCTGACTAGTGGGTAACTAGCTGACCCATAAACCATGTAGTTAACACATATGATAACTAGCTGACCCATAAAGCATGTAGTTAACACATATGATAACTAGCTGACCCATAAAGCATGTAGTTAACACATATGATAACTAGCTGACCCATACAGCATGTAGTTAACACATATGAAAACTAGCTGACCCATAAAGCATGTAGTTAACACATATGATAACTAGCTGACCCATAAAGCATGTAGTTAACACATATGATAACTAGCTGACCCATAAAGCATGTAGTTAACACATATGATAACTAGCTGACCCATAAAGCATGTAGTTAACACATATGATAACTAGCTGACCCATAAAGCATGTAGTTAACACATATGATAACTAGCTGACCCATAAAGCATGTAGTTAACACATATGATAACTAGCTGACCCATAAAGCATGTAGTTAACACATATGATAACTAGCTGACCCATACAGCATGTAGTTAACACATATGATAACTAGCTGACGCATAAAGCATGTAGTTAACACATATGATAACTAGCTGACCCATAAAGCATGTAGTTAACACATATGATAACTAGCTGACGCATAAAGCATGTAGTTAACACATATGATAACTAGCTGACTCATAAAGCAACTGTGTCAAATACTTCAAGAGAATTGTCGTACACATTCTCAGAGTGTGTCGTTACACACCGACCTGGTTCAGTTGTGTTCAGACATGTGTTCATTTAGTAAGCTCGTCTAACACAGTACAGTTAAATATCTTTCATGTGTGACTTGACATGGATGACCTATCAAGCTATTTTTAAATACGCCGTTACGATTATGTAGTTCAAGAGTCAGTTATTTTCAAATGTCTACACACTAGACACACTTTCAACTAGGGTAGACTACTGCTAATAGATTTTGACTGTTATGGTTGAGCAGGTTTAACTGTAACTATTTGGTTGGCTGTCAGTGCTAGAAGCATATGCTGTGTAGCAGGCAGGAAGAGATAAAGCAACAGAGACACAATAACAAGCTGACCTATAGAACAACTAGATAATCCTAATATAACTGACCCATATAGCAACTATCTGATCCACAATGCAACTAACTGACCCTCATAGAACTGACCCATAGAGCAACTAACTGACCTATATAGCAACTAACTGACCCATAGATCAACTAACTGACCCTAATAGAACTGACCCATAGAGCAACTGACCCTCATAGAACTGACCCATAGAGCAACTAACTGACCCATATAGCAACTAACTGACCCATAGATCAACAAACTGACCCTCATAGAACTGACCCATATAGCAACTAACTGACCCATAGAGCAACTAACTGACCCATATAGCAACTAACTGACCCATAGATCAACTAACTGACCCTCATAGAACTGACCCATATAGCAACTAACTCACCCATAGATCAACTAACTGACCCTAATAGAACTGACCCATGGAGCAACTAACTGACCCTCATAGAACTGACCCATAGAGCAACTAACTGACCCATATAGCAACTAACTGACCCATAGATCAACTAACTGACCCTAATAGAACTGACCCATAGAGCAACTGACCCTCATAGAACTGACCCATACAATAACTAGATGACCTATTAAACAAATAGATGATCTAATAAATCAAGTTTAGCCGCACACAATAATGTACGAGAAAAATTCGAGTATGAGGGTGAAGTTATTAGTCTGGTCTATTGAATTTAAATCCGCTGCGTTGACTACACAAGCGCTGTTAGTTCAGGTTAGAGGATCAAATCCAGCCTAGCCTTACCTTGTGGTTGCAGCCATTCCGTCTGGCTCTGTTTCTCAAAGCTGGAGCCGTGAACAGCTGCTCATCCTCCGACTCCGAGTTGGTCAACAGCTCTTTGAATGAAACACTTTCAGACATGTTGGCCCAGGTGTTGGCCCAGGTGTTGGCCCAGGTGTTGGCCCAGGTGTTGGCCCAGGTGTTGGCCCAGGTGTAGGCCCAGGTGTTGGCCCAGGTGTTGGCCCAGGTGTTGGCCCAGGTGTTGGTCCAGGTGTTGGCCCAGGTGTCTCAGGCCTGTAAAACACGAGACCTGGCTGTGACAGAGGAAGTAGAGTTTACCTGTTTCTCTGTCATATGTGATGTGCTACCAGATCAGAAGACCATGTCTTTCCTTTCTCAGAGCTTCAACGTCCTGTTATACTACTGAGCTATGCACACATTTACTAAGGTTTTAATCATGTTTGCTTATTGCATGTCAATATTAAAACTTTAAAAAATTCCAATGTTATAAAACTACCGACAAGTAGAACGCTAACAGCGTAAGACACGTACCTGTTCCTTCCAGCGCCCAGCCAAGCGCTCCGACTGAATCAGCGAGTTTGTTACATGGCTGTCGAACCATTACAAGTGTAGGGAACCAGCGAAGCGTACACATGACTAGGTGCTTCAATAAACTGATTTCTATGATACTGCACTCTTGTGGAAAGGCTGTTCGCCTCGCGTATAGAAGGGTCAAAGTTCAGTTATGGGGAGGGCCAGGTGGTATTGACGATCTGATATCTGAGAAGTTCCTTATCCGAGTTGGTAATGCGATCAACATAACTACAATCTACTGCCACTTCCATCATCTACTGATACTGGCACTAACAACTTTTACTGACACTAACATAATTTACTGTCACTAAAACTAACGTCATTCACTGACACTGATATCATCTGCTGACACTGACACACCTTCTAATTGCACTGTCACTAAAATCATAAATTGACACTGATACTTACATCATATACATTTTAAACTGTCCTCTATATGACTGAGGTCTCTTAATTTTTGTGAAAGCATAGTTGCGAACTACTTCTGTGAATAGTTTGTGTGATGGACGTGTGAGACACGTGTGTAAACGGCTTGTATAAAATGAGTGAATGATTTTTCTGGGTATTCACAAATAGCACCTTTAGTAATGGAGGTTACAATTTTTGTAAAAGCTCTAAAACATGAACCCATGACAAAAAGCTTTCGATATATACATATACTTAAATTATCGGGTTCTTGTTAGTCTTGGAAAAATTAATGTTGACATTCGAGCCGATGTCTAGTGAGGTTGTTTATGGCGTGTCTACAAAGTCTAGGTACGTCTAACAACATTCATGAGACATTACAACAACGAAACAATTCAGTTTATTGTTTACACCAGTCCACGAGCACTATGTGTTACATCTATTTACATAAGACGGTCAAAGAAAGTGTACTGATGTTGATGAAGTGTTGTTTGCTTTTTATTTTTTATTGTTTTTTGGGTGGTGTGGGGGGGGCGCAATATGCTTTGGGCCTTAGGCTGCTGGCCAATCATCCTCCCCATTTATCCGCCCCTGAATTCTCCAACTAAGGGACGCGATGATTGAAACAAACGCGACAAGAACTCTCTCGCTTAAGGAAATAAAAAAGTTTTATTCTGTAACAAATGTGTCATGTTCAAGTTTGTTGGTAAACACTCGACGTTTGGTAGACCGTAGTCAGCTGACTTGATGACCCCGTCCTTGATCTCCAGCCTGACGGCGTCACGTGATCCGACAGACGGACACTCGTGGAAGTAGTTGTAGGGCAGGAGCGAGATGGTGGCGCTGGTGCCTACAGTCGGGGTGTTGGGGATGTCCTCCGTGTGGGGGATGTGGTGGAACCCCACAGTCACCCAAAACACCAGGTCCTGAGGAGTGTGTGATAAAGCGGATTTTAAATCTTTAACATAGAACTTTTATAGTTGTCTGGGTTCAATATTTTAATTTTAGCCCATATAGTTGGCCAACTTATACAGAGAGCCACCTCCACCATCTGGCCACCTCATACACCTGGTCATCTCATACACCTGGCCACCTCATACACCTGGCCACCTCATACATCTGGCCACCTCCACCATTTGGCCACCTCCACCATTGGGCCACCTCCACCATTTGGCCACCCCATACATCTGGCCACAAGTAACACCTCACCTGGTCCACGATGCTCTCGTCGTCCCTGAGGTAATGGTCCAGGTCGACCTGTGGCCCGGCCCCGTCAAACATGGAGAAGATGGAGCTGCTCGACTCCTCTTCTTCCTTCCTTCTCGTCACCGCCATCTGGTACTTGCTCCACTGCCGGCTCTTTAGAACCGGCGACTCGTCCGGCAACAGCTGTTTCGTGAAGCCTTGCACGGCCAACCTGGATGGGAGAAAGGTGGATGTGTTGTGTCATGATGGCAATGCTAGACCACCGCGTCTTACCATTCACCCTTTTCTCCTTTCTAGTTTCAATCACGTAACTAATGTGATCAATGTGTTAGTTACCATGGAAACCAAAGAACTCCTCCTACCTGTAAGCCTTGTGGTTTCCATACGAATTTTTCTCCCTATCGTTGTAGACGATGTGGTACTTGGGCTCTGAGAAATTGTAGTGTAGCACAGCGTCCTGCTCCGTCTGCCTGAGGTTGTGCTTGAAGGAGATCTGGTGGAACTCCTCGCTGCCAGACTTGTACCAGGGCCAGGGCCGCTTGTCTAGGGCCAGGTCCAGGCTCTCGTAACGGTTCGATTGACCTTGAATGTCAAGGTCAACTTTAAAGTTCATTAAATGATGGTGGATGGAGCCCACAATGTCGCCGTGGATTCTGTGAAAAGGTTGACAAAATATGTGTAAGAATTTTGCCAACATACAACGTATGACTTTGTAAATGCATCGTTTATTCGATCAGTGTGACTTTATAGCACAAATAATATTTCCTGTTTCTGGGTCTATTTGAGAATCTTCTTTAATTTTTGTTCAAAAGCAAATTGAAACTTCCAAAAACTCTTTAAGGTAGCCATAGTTTATTTTTTTTTAAAGCTAACACTTACATATCAGGACCTATCGTTGGGACATAACAGAATATATCAAGTTCTGGCTAAGATAACTGAGCCATTACCTAAATCCAAACGGCTCTTCCTCGTTGTGAAAGGTCTGTGACATGACGTAGCCAGTGGCGTAAACTTTGACCTCCACGGCGCCATTTTGGTGAAACACCCAATCAAAGATGTAGTCGTAGTTGTACTCAACAATGATGGTGCGCAGGATGAGAACACGGTCCAATAGACCACCGTAGTTGCTGGCAGATACAGGAGAGGGGGGGGGGTGAATGGTGGGGATTTGGTGGAGTACTGACATGTAGGTGGAGCATTGACATGTAGGTGAAGCATTGACATGTAGGTGAACATTGACATGTAGGTGGAGCATTGACATGTTGGTGGAGCATTGGCATGTTGGTGGAGCATTGACATGTAGGTGGAGCATTGACATGTTGGTGGAGCATTGACATGTAGGTGGAGCATTGACATGTAAGTGGAGCGTTGACATATAGGTGGAGCATTGACATGTAGGTGGAGCATTGACATGTAGGTGGAGCATTGGCATGTTGGTGGAGCATTGGCATGTTGGTGGAGCATTGACATGTAGGTGGAGCATTGACATGTAGGTGGAGCATTGACATGTTTGTTGAGCATTGACATGTAGGTGGAGCATTGACATGTAGGTGGAGCATTGACATGTAGGTGGAGCATTGACATGTAGGTGGAGCATTGACATGTAGGTGGAGCATTGACATGTTGGTGGAGCATTGACATGTTGGTGGAGCATTGACATGTAGGTGGAGCATTGACATGTAGGTGGAGCATTGACATGTAGGTGGAGCATTGACATGTAGGTGGAGCATTGACATGTTTGTTGAGCATTGACATGTAGGTGGAGCATTGACATGTTGGTGGAGCATTGACATGTAGGTGGACTTTGACATTAGTGTGGATAAAGGATTTTTCTGGTGCTCTTCATTAATGAAGGATATTTGGCATGTTGGTGGCGTATTGAAGGTGGATTAGCCTTTGTAGGTGGAGTAATAGATGGAGTGTGACTTGTAGATGAATGAATGACATGTGTGACTGATATAATAGCGTATAGTTTAGACTAATTGAGAAATGACTGTTATAATAGTGTATAATTTAGACTAACGGAAAAGGACTGATATAATAGCGTATAATTTAGACTAATGGAGAATTGACTGATTAAATAGTTTATAATTAAGACTGATAATTTGACTAAAGCCTTGAAGACCCACCTGCCTATAGATGGGTCATTCGTGTAGTGACGTCGTAGGGGAACCCCCGTGTTGTGTTCAAACAGACAAAAACAGTTGTTCAGTGTTCTGGTCACGTGTTGCTCATTGTCATAAATTGCCTGAGGTAAAAATGTGGCGTAGTCCGGACAGTCCACTCCAGGCACGAGACCAAAGGCCTGGAACAAAACTCACAGTACGTCAGCTGTCATTTCACTCAGAGCTTAAAACTAGAACCCCTGGACAACTTGAATGAACGTACCTGGTTACCTAGACCAAAAGCACTATCTGACAGGTGAGTATAAAAAGTGGTAGGATTAGCCCCAGCGTAGATAACTCCAAGGTCCTGTAGGCTAATCTCAAACGCGATTCTCTCCCCTGCCCAGCGGACATCCCACACCTGGGGGCCAGCAGCTGCGGACATTCGGACATTGAAGCTCCACTCCAGGTACTCCACATGTCCGGCACTTACGCTGTATAGGGAAAATAAACCGGGAGTGATCTCCCCTAAACTTTCTCGAATCTAATATATAAAGCTCAGTTCTGTATGTAATGCATTTGTATGTCGTTGGAATTGTACGAATTTAAGTGTTAGAAAATTATCGTGCGCATTTGTCTAAATTTATAAGCTAAAAAATTACTATTGAAAGTGTTGGGAAATAATTTTCATTTTTCAAATTATAGTAATAATTGTCGGTATGTTCATTAAACACAAGTTTTAAAAAAAATATCATCTTTTACAAAAATTCTAATTATGTCTTTATTTAGTCCTATAGCACTTACTTCCCTTTGATAAATTAGGAAAAACACAATTACTTCCCTTTATAAAACCATTGCATTCCGTGAAAATAATTGACTTTTTAATTACTTTGTTTTGGTGTTGGGAAAAAAAATAATTACATAATTAGCGGGGATTGATCAAGTGCAAATGTTGTAGGTATTTTACGGATAAGCTTGGAGTATTAAAATTGTTTATTAAATTGAAACAGGCGCGTTCGTTTAAGTGAGTGCAAAAGACTGTGAATAAGTTGGGGTACTATAGTCGTTCATTAAGCTAAAACAGGTGATTCCGCCCCGGGCGTTTATGTTCGCGTTAGTGTTTTCTTTGTGTTTAGGTGGGTTTGCGTTAGTGGTTGCGTTTTAATTTGGTTCGTTTTTGTTCTTTCTTTTTTCGTTTTTGTTTGTGTTTTTTTTTGTTTGGGTTTGTATTTGTGTTTTTGGTTGGTTTTGCGTTTGGATTTGGTTTGTTTTCTTTTGCTTTTTACGTTGATTT